TTTTCAATTCTATTGGCCAAATAATATAACTGGGGTATGCTCGGGATCTACGTGGGGGATACAATACAAAAAAAATCTGCACTATTGATTTTTATTATCATACCTTACATAGTTTTGATTAATTAGTGCGTGAAATACCCCAGTGTTGCACGTTATACGTAGATGTTACATGAGGATCTGCAAACCGGTATGCAAAAAGTCATTCTAAAAAACTTCTAAAAAAATTTTTTTTGGTATATACCGATACGTATTATACGTACGTACGTACAATTTTAAATTTTTTTTAAACTAATTATAACAAACTTTTTTTGATACGTAATTATTTGGTTCAATTTTTTTAAAAAACTAATCCACAATACTAGTCAAAATTAAAATAAAATATATTTAAATTCAGCTTTATTATATCTCCGATGCAGATTCAAAATTTTCGTTTAATAGAAAGATCGCCAAAAAATGAAATTGGGATACACATCATGCCACAATTTTGTCATTGATCAGGCCACCGACTTTGGAAATTCTATTTGAGAAATGAAGGTCAAGTTATGGGGAATACGTATACTCAACCTACGGTTAATTTCTTACCGACTGTTCATGATCAAGTATGCACAAATACGTATAAGACGATCATTACGACATTATTTAACACGTAAGACGATCATTACGGCATTTGAATTTTAAACTGAATAGTGGCAAGATTATTAAAATTCGAAATAAATACAGAAATAGTACTCACATTTGTCTTTATTCCTTTCAATAATTAACATTAAAAGCATAATAATGGTTAATGGTTCACGAGTTGCTATTATCGGTGCGGGTTCTGTCGGTGCTTCTATTGCCTTTGCTCTGCTTCTGCAAAAGATTTCCTCTGAGATTCTTTTGGTTGATATTGTTGCCGAAACTGTTGAAGGTCAAGTACTAGACCTTTCAGATGCCAATTTCATTTCTTCTACTCAAGTTCGCAGTGGCTCTTTTCAAGAGGCTGGACAATGCGACATTGTGGTTATTACTGCTGGTGCCAAACAGAAATCTGGTGAATCAAGAGTTGAAGTAAGTGTACCAACATCAGGATGTAGTCCTCATACTTAGTATTCATACTATCAATAAAAATAAAATTTTAAACCTTTGAGCAAAGATATCTCAACAACTATCTGACAAAGCTCGATTACAAATTTTTATTTGAATTCTACGAACCTATAGAATTCAAATAAAAAATTTTCATCGAATTTGGTTAGGTAGTTTTCGAGATATCTTCGTTTAAAGTTAAAAACAAAAAAAAGTCTTATCAAAATAAAGCTACGCCTAAAACTTTAAAGATATTTCGACAATCACCTGACCAATTTTATGAAAATTTTTTAATTTGAATTCTACGGATTTGTAGAAGTCAAATAAAAAAATTTTTGTCGAATTTGGTCGGGTGGTTGTCGAGATATCTTCGTTTAAAGTTAAAAAAAAGTCAAAAAACATCTAACAAAATAGCTGTGCCAAATTTTTTCTAAATCGTTTGCTAAGATATCTTGAACAGTCATCTGATTAAGTTCGACTAAATTTTTTTTTATTTGAATTCTACGAATCTGTAGAATTCAAATAAAAAAAAAAAATTCATTGAATTTGATCAGGTGGTTGTCAAGATATCCTTGACGCTGCTTTATTTCGATAAACCGTTTTTAAGTTTTTAATTTTTGATCGAAGATATCTCGACAACCACCCGACCAAATTCGACAAAAATTTTTTTATTTGACTTATACAAATCTGTAGTATTCAAATAAAAAAATTTTGGTCCAGGTTTTAGAAAATTTGAAGCAACTTCATTTCGATGACGTTTAAGTTTTTTTAAAATTTTAAGCAGATATCTCGTCAACAACCTAAATTCGATAAAAATTTGAATTATATGGGTTCGTAAAACTTATAAAAATTTTAATCGAACTTGGTCAGATGGCTGTCGAGATATCTTCGCTCAAAGTTTTTAAAATTTTTGTGAGGTTACACGAATTGATGTTCAATCACATGATTCCAAAAATTTTGGTTTATTTAAGAGCTTTACTGTATATCTAATCAATGATTTGTTAATTTTCAGCTAATTGAAAGAAATTATAAAATTTTGGATTATGTGATAGGATCTATGAAACCATTGAATCCTAATATAATTTTATTAATAGTTGCTAATCCTGTGAGAAAATAATAACTTCTATAATTTAATATCTAGCTTTTTTTACATGTATTAGTCTTAATATTTATTTATCTTATAAAGGTAGATATATTGACTCGAATTGCTCAAAAACTATCTGGTTTGCCAGAAAACCAAGTTTTTGGATCGGGAACTTTTTTGGATTCGGCCAGATTAAGACTTAAGTTAGCTTCAGTGCTCGGGGTAATTATTTAGATAATTGAAAGTAAAGATGCTGATGAACTTAAATTAGTGTGGTGAAAATTGCCATTGAATTTGTGAAATTTTTTGGTGAATTAATTTCACCAGCATCTCTATCTAATTGAGTGTTTGACATTTTAATATATAAATTTGATAAATTGACTACTAAATTGTTACGCAATAGATCGCAGAGAATGCAATTCACAGCTATGTTTTAGGCGAACATGGTGATTCGCAGATTATTGCATGGTCTTTTGCACATGTTGGAGGCAAGCGTTTGTTGGACTTTCCCGAAGTGCAAAATTTAGATAAAGAGGCTGTTGCTAAAGAAATTGCGAGTAAAGCCTACAAAATTATTGAACTTAAAGGTGCGACTTATTTCGGAATTGCTGGATGTGTGTCCACGTTAGTTCAGTGTATTGTATTGAATCAGAAACATGTAAGACCGTTGAGTACTTATATTAAAGAATACGACTGTGTATTTAGTATGCCCGTCGTATTGGGAAGTCAAGGTATTGAAAAAGTAATTGATGTTTCATTGAGTGAAGAAGAAAAGAATAAATTGAGATGTTCGGCCTCGACTTTGAAATCAATTTGTGCTAAGTATATATAGATAAGATTTGAGATAATTATTGGTTGAAGAGTAATAAATTAAGAAGCTTGGCTCCAACTTTCAAATAAATTTGTAGTCTTCTGAGATAACCAACTACAACGTTGCTCATTTCATATGGCAAGGAATTTTTTTTGTAAATTTGTTTTTTTTTAATAAAGTTGTCTATGCTCGAATTAAGGATGGATCGATCTTCGTAAAGACCGGGACCGATGTTACGCTAATTCTTGTCTTAACCTCATTGTTATTTCATTTTTCCATAATAAGATTAGATCTGTGACTACATTTATCGTAATGGGAGTTCGAGACCCCGATCGAGGGATTAAAACCTCCAGAATAGAGTGTCCAGGGGGCTGCCTTAACCGACAAATTCTGCTGCGATTGCCGTTAGATTTGCGAATTCTGCGGCGACATATAAATAGTACTTTAAATTTTAATATATAAAAATTTTATTGTAACTTCAAGTTATAGTCTTGATTTATAAACGCTAAACAAGTTCACGGGTGAACTTCTAGAAAAATTTAATATAATAACTTATTGTGATTGAACAGACAAGATATATTATACCTTATTACGTATCATATCTTTTGGATTGACCGCATCCTAAATTGAAAGCCTAAAAAATTAATAAAATAATATAACTTATTTTTACTTTTATTTTCTCGTAAAACACATTTATCAATTTGAATTATAATATAAAAATTTAACATTACAATAGAATTTTCTGAAAGACATTTATGGTTACTAAGAATATTTTTGTAAGCAAAAAACTACATTCTACATTCACACCTAAAATGGGTAACCAAATATAAAATGTTTTTTTAGATAAAATCAGTAATGTGTTTCTTTTTTTTATTCAATAGTTATTTAAATCAAAACTTTTATTGAAAATTTCTCAAAGATCACAATATACTTCTCATTTATCAATTAAATTATTTGCAGGCAATATAAATTTATCAATTTTATTATAATTATCTAAGTTAGGTTTATTATTTTGTGATTAAATATATTTCAGGTCAAAGCATCTAATTGTTTTAAAAAGAGGAAATATATTATATCTATTAATATATTTTTAAACTTATTTCAAGCTAACTTGTATATTTCAAAAAAAATTAATTTATAGCTGTTTAAATCAATTTTATTATAGTCAACTTTTTCTAAATACAATTTATGCAGACACTATATAAATTTTAAAAATCTTGTATTTAGGAAGATAAAAATCTATAAATATATATATATAATAGAGACACAGCAAGGTTATGCATTTATAGAGATTTTTATAGAATATACATTTAAGGAGATTGTATTTATAGAGATCTAACTATATATATTTTTTAATTAATTTGTATTTAATGGTGATTCTTGTATACTATTTACTAATTCTGCATAAACTTATTTAATTCTAGTAATTATATATAATGCAACAGGTTCATTTTTTTTTAATTTTTTTACTTCAACAATTTTACTTTTATTTTGGCTAATCTTTAGTATAGGTGAGCAAATATAATTTTTTATATTATGATTTCTATATAGATCTCCTTTAGTAAGCAAACTCCAATGAGTATCACATGATCACACAATATAATGACTAGTATAATTTAATAATTATAAACTTAAATAAGCTAACTTATGCTGATCAGAATTAAATTTTAACTCAAAAAGTCAATAATCGCAAATTTAAGTTAAATTTTTAACTGTGTTTAGCTTATACGGATCTTAGTTTTTTTTTTTTTTTTTATAACTAATCTATTTTTTTTAATATACTATTTGGACTCGCTAATAATCTTAAAGAACAGAAACCAGGACTAAAGTACTTTAACATTCATTAGATTAAGGATTATAAATACTATCTGGTAAGTATTTCTTTCGTGTGGTTTTTTTTCTTTGAAGTTAAAGTGATTCTAACAATCATATTTAATTAGAGCATAATTAACTTTCAGTAAGCCATTTCACCCACTTGGCTTTTTTTTTTCTTAAATTTGAAGTGGTTCTAACAATCTTATTTGATTAGAGTATAACCAACTTTTGTTAAAGTGTTTTATCTATTTGGTTTTTTTTTCTTGAACTTGAAGCAATTCTAACAATCTTATTTAATTAAAGCATAACCAATTTCTGATAAGCCATTTCTTCTATTGAACTTTTTTTTTCTTGAATTTGAAATGGTTCTAACTATATATGCCACGAAATAGTTTTTCAAAAAACCTTATTTCATCTCCATTAGAGCAATTTAAAATTTTTATATGCAAGAGCAAATCTAATTTAAGTAGTTATTTTCCTTATAATTTCGTCTTTTCAAAAAAAGTGTCAAAAAATTTCATTTTTTAAATAAAATAGATCAAAGACAATTTTGTCTTCAAATTTTAATTTTATACTCCAAAACCCAAAATAATTTCATTAGCATGTATAGTTCTAACAATTATATTCGATTAAAGGTATAACCAATTTCTGGTAAGCTATTTCTTCCATTTGGTTTTTTTTTTGCTTGAATTTGAAGTGATTATAACAATCTTATTTGATTAGAGCATAACCAATTTCTAGTAAAAGCAGTATCATTTATTACCTGATTATTTTTTATCAGAGGCTTACCTCTCTCTCCCTCTTAATATAAAAAAAATCAGGTTCTTATATATAATTTTAACTTTTTTACCTCCTCACCCTAAAAAATCATCTGATTTTTGTCACGTCCCTAAGCTATTTCTTCTATTTGGCTTTTTTTTTTTGCTTGAATTTGAAGTGGTTCTAACAATCATATTCGATTAGAGACATAACTAACTTTCGGTAAGGTGTTTTATCCATTTGGTTTTTTTTTTCTTTGAATTAGAGATGGTTCTAATAATTTTATTTAATTAGAGCATAACCAATTTTTGGTAAACTATTTCTTCTATTAGATTTTTTTTTCTTGAATTTGAAGTAGTTCTAATAATCATATTCGATTAGAGTATAACCAATTTCCAGTAAGCTATTTTTTTATTTGGCTTTTTTTTTTCTTGAATTTAAAATGGTTTTAATAATCATGTTTGATTAGGAGCATAACCAATTTCCAGTAAGCCATTTCATTCATTAGGTTTTTTTTTTTGAATTTGAAGTGGTTCTAAACAACCTTATTTGATTAGGGGTATAACCAACTTTCAGTTTCTCTATTTGGTTTTTTTTTCTTTGAATTTGAAGTGATTCTAACAATCCTATTTGATTAAGGATATAACCAACTTCTGATAAGCCATTTCTTCTATTTGGCTTTTTTTTTCTTGAATTTGAAGTAATTCTAACAATTTTAATCAATTAGAAGTATAAATCTTTAGTAGACTATTTCTTTTGTTTGGCTTTTTTCATTTTTTTGAATTTGTAATATATAGATTGATTTTTTTTAATCATATGAAATCACAGTTCATAACTTAATGCACTAGTTTTTTTTTTTTAATTATATAATACCACGATGCATGAATTAATATACTGATTTTTTTTTAATTGTATAAATCATGATATATGAATTAATGCACTAATTTTTTAATTATATAAATTATGATATATGAGTTAATATGTTGATTTTTTTTAATTGTATAAATCATGATGTATGAATTAATATGCTGGTTGATTTTTTTAATTATTGTTATTTTTTAATCATAATAGTTTTGTTAGTATAAATTTATACCAATGTATCATTAGTATTATTATTTTTTCTATATATAGTTAAATTTCTTTAAGTTAAAAAGTTTTAAATATATCTGTTATAGTTCCACCTTCCACTTTAAAATTTCTTCAAAAGATCTTCTTTGATGAAGATGAATGCATTGATTATATATTTAATAAAGATATATTATACAAACCACAAGCTTGTTCTTCTTGTAATTCTTCACTCTATTGTAAAAAAAAACTTCATAGATGCATTAATCATTTATATCATAAATCATTTTCGATATTAAAAGATTCATTCTTTTTAAAAAACCATTTAAAGTATTCTGAAACCTATTAATTAGTTATTTTTAGTTTAACAAAGTTATATATAAGAGTATATTAAGTATAACAGGTCATTCATTAGTGACTATTACAAATTATATGCATTTGTTCAGGGAGATGGTTTCTAGTACACTGGAGAATGATGACAGTATAATTGGTAGACCTGGTGTAATTATTGAAATTGATAAAACTAAAATGAGTAAGCAGAAATACTATTGAGATTATTGGGTCAAAGAAGTGTAGATTATCGGTGGTGTCAAACGAACTGAAGAAAAAATATGCTTTGTTAAAATAGTTGCTAATAGGACCACTGATATATTACTTGAAGTTATTTTCTGACATATTTTGAAAGGTTCTATTATAAATATAGACATGTGGCAGAATATAACAGACTTGAAGGTTTAAGTATAATCTATAATTTTGTGGACTCTGTAATTAGTGTTTATACTAATACTATTAAAGGATTGTAGAATAGTTTGAAATTGAAAGTCCTGTTTCATGACAGAATTAAGGATAAAATTACCAATCATCTCCATGAATTTATATAGAGAAAAAAAATAAAAATAATATATAAGGTGGTTTTATTAATACTTTAAAAACTACAAGTTATCCTAATCCTGAATAAATATATGGAGGTGAGTCAGTAGAAAAGGGACAAATTTTTTCTAAATAAAAGGTTTCTTGACTTTAAGCTTAAATATTTTAACAACTATCTTATTAAATTTAATAAAAATTTTTTTATTTTAATTCTATATAATTTTAAAATTAAAATAAAAAAATTTTTAGCAAATTTGATTAAATAATTGTTAAGATATTTTAATTTAAAAATTAAAAAAAATTTACTAAAAATGATTTGTCCTTTTTCTACTAATTTACTCCTATATATATATTTTTTTATTTAGATAATAAAATATATAGACATAGGATGAATACGCATTAATACATATATTATATTAAATACATATTGTATAATTTTTTAATTTTATATCTTTCCAACCCTTCTTATCTTTTATATTTATTATTTCTTAATCTGCCTAGTATTATTCTCT